AATTTTAAATTTTACAACTAAAAATCATATTTTATTGTATCATTTATTAAAATAAATTCAAAAATAAAAATCTAATTTAAAAAAAAATCGTAATTAGTATACAAATATATTATCTATTGGAATTTAATTTGGTCATTTAAACGACAAAATTAAATGATTAAGTGACAAAACTCAGGAAATTTGAGTATAATTCTCCTAATAATTTATTTTATTATCTAATAATTAAATGATCTATATTTTCACCTAAAAAATGTCATAATATTGATTGCACTTTATAATTAATTTTTCTATTCAATTTGTAAAATTGGATGGGTGAAAAATATTGTGCTTTTATTTCATTGTCGAATTTGACAATGANAATAAGCATAAAAACATGACAAAATAGAACCCTTATGACAGGAAAAAAAAAACTGTAAACTAGTGAACAGGAGAAGATACATTAACATTTACAAAAACCAACAGCATTCAATTGTTGCCTTTGTCTTGCATAATCCCTAAGTCATCTTTAAGGGCATGGATCCAGTTCCAGTGCACTTGCTCTTGCCCAGAACTCACCTCCATGAATAAAAAAGGGCAATCCAGAACCCAATGACCATCACATCAAAGGATAACGGCTTAGGACCTAGCATGTACCTTTACCTACTACCAAAGGTTCAAAACATGATCATAAAAGTATGACTCATGTCCAAAACTGGAGTTGTTACACCTCCCATGATGTGCACTAAATAAATATTGCAAGTACTTTGCCACATATATGTAGTCATCTTGGTTCTGATATTTATTTAGTGTGCACTCATTAGACTAACACATGTATCATTTTAAGCAAAAAATAGTCAGACTGCAAGGGGGACACGCATCAATCGCGGCGCAGTTCAATTTAGTTTTCTGCCCTTTCCTGTAGTCCAGGAGTTCATTAGGGTCCTGTAAAACTTGATTACGAATGCTCTATTACTTAAAGGTTATGGTTGAAGTCATTGGAAGCATAATTGACAGGCCTGTGAAAGCTTGATCGTAATCATCATCAAAATAAGGTCCATTCAATGGAAACACTTTTGTGCAGCCAGATTAAATTGATAGGAATAAGGTGCCTCCCAATGAAGCTGGTGACGGAAAATAATAATTGGGATATCCTTACATTTCAGGTGTCCATAATTAAGCTTGCACTTTGACTTCTAAAATTCAAATTTCACTGATATGTTTTATGATCATATAGCCTTTGTGGGTAACAAAGGTAGAGTATTTACATAAGCAAGTTAACCCTGTATTAGTATGTTCAATCTATGCAAATTAAAAGGGTAAATGATTCACTTTATTTCAGCAAGTTCTTCCAATTTAACTGATGTCAAAAGGGTATAAGAAAGAAGATTTTCCAATGAGCCTAAGGTCAATTTTCTTTATTAAAAAAAAAAAAAAATTATCCAAGTCAACACTGAAATTGCTGTTTTTGTCCCTTCTAAATAAAGCTGTACACAAATGACCATTCCCAGATATTACTGAAAGAAAGAAAAAAATTACTAAAAAAACATATACATGAATAATTTCCATAAACCCCCTACTTTTTTGAGAACTTTTCACATCACCGAAAGTTCTATATAGCTATACGCACAAACATATGTCTATATAAATGTGAAACAACTAGAAAATGGCAACATAAATGTTTTGGAAACAAACTGACCGCCTGAAGGTGTACTTGGACCGTGAAGGTCAGCGAATTCCGATGAGAAGAACTGCGAACAATGGGCGACTAGAATTTGAAAACTAGTCCTAGAATCAACGCTGGGCTCTTGGTAACACGAGGGTTTCTACTTTCTTTGGCTGCCCAAGGGGAGAGAGAGAGGGGGGGAAAGTAATTGGGGGAAGCTTCAAATCATAGCGCGATGTGGAGTCGCGGGATTATTCTCTGCTCAAATGTTCGGACAATGCCCAATTTGTGTATCTTCATTTTACTGTTCATATTTACACACTGAAATATACATATTTCATTTTTTAAAATTTATGGTAAAAATTAGGAAGAATTATATCGAGACTTTATGAATATTACATATAGACTCCTTAAAATTTGTACACACGTAATATTTAGATCCTGTCGTCAATATCTGTTAATAAATTATACCAAAATTTTCTGAAATTTGTAGGTGTATATTATTTAAACTCTTCAAATTTAAAATATTATATTTAGACCAAAAATACTCTAATTAAAAATTAAATATCAAACATTTTAATTTATACAAACAAATTTCATATTTTATTATGACATTTATTGAAATAAAATAAAAAAAAATTCTTAAAAATAGTAATTAAAACATGAATTTTACAAATAAAATTCATGTTCTATTATGAATGACTTAAACCCCTTTTTTGATTTTTTTAGTTTTATTCCAATAGATAATATAATTGTATACTAATTACGATTTTTTAAGAAAAAATTAGAATCTTTTTTTTTATTTTATTTCAATCAATAATACAATAACACACATGAATTTTTGTTATAAAATTTAAAATATTTGTTATTTTATCTTTGATTGGAATATTTTTTATCTAAATATAATACTTTAAACTTTAAGGGTTTAAGTATTATACATCTACAAACTTCAGGAGGTCTGAGTATAATTTAACTAATAGATATACTAATAGACACTAATGTCAGGGGTTACGCGCATACAAAGTTCAGAGAGTCTGTGTATAATATTTTAAATGTTAAGGGTCTGAGTGATTAAAAGACAAACCTTAATGGGTTCGGGTGTAATTGTTCTAAAAATTACAGTTCACCTTTAGAACTTTGATTTTGATTTTAATTTGGTCTTTAAATTTTTAATTGTCTTAATCTTGACTATCAATTTCATCTTAATTAAGTTTTTACATCAATTTTTATCATTGGATCAATTGAAAATTAGTTCAAACTGATCTATTTCAATGTTGAATATTTAATTGAATTGATTGTTGCATTATTAAACTGAGACAATTAAAAGTTTATGGACTAAATTGAAACTGAATACAAAATTAACGACCAACTATAATTTTCACCTAAATATTTATTCTGTTGTTCTGTGCTCCTGTTTCTGTTCAAATTTTTTTTTTTTTTTTAGAAATTGTTTCTGTTCAATTTGACGGTGAAAATTAAACAATGAAATAATTTAGGAAGAATTATACGCATCTCGAGTTTTGTCATTTAATCACTCAGATTTTTTTAACATTTGAAATATTACAAACAGACTCCTTGAGATTTATACGCGCGTAACACTTAGACCCCTATCATCAATGTTTTATTAGTAAATTACACTCAGACCCTCTAAAATTTGTAAACATATAATATTTAAACTCCTCAAGTTTAAAATGTTATATTTAGACAAAAAAAAAATACTCCAATCAAAAATAAAATATCAAATATTTTAAATTTTAAATTTTACAACTAAAAATCATATTTTATTGTATCATTTATTAAAATAAATTCAAAAATAAAAATCTAATTTAAAAAAAAATCGTAATTAGTATACAAATATATTATCTATTGGAATTTAATTTGGTCATTTAAACGACAAAATTAAATGATTAAGTGACAAAACTCAGGAAATTTGAGTATAATTCTCCTAATAATTTATTTTATTATCTAATAATTAAATGATCTATATTTTCACCTAAAAAATGTCATAATATTGATTGCACTTTATAATTAATTTTTCTATTCAATTTGTAAAATTGGATGGGTGAAAAATATTGTGCTTTTATTTCATTGTCGAATTTGACAATGGGAGATTTATTTCACTGTTCTATTTATTTTATCGCCTAATTGATAATAAAAATGTGTTACTGTCCAATTTATTTCACTATCCACTATGACAATTATTACGACTAAACAACCACTAAATTAACACTTGTGGTCGTACTTGTGACCCAATTTCGTGATTAGGTGGAAAGTCCTAATTGGGCAAGAAAAGAGGTTTTCTAGTACTACCAAAAAATGGAACGGTAAAAAGTTCGAAAGAAGAAAAGTTAGTGAAATAAATAAAATATCATGTTTGGTAAAAAAGGAAAATAGGAATGATGGAAAAGTGGGTGGATTAACTTTTCTTCCAACTCACTAAAATCAATCCCTCCAAAATCGTAAATAAAATGAATGGAAAGTTAATTATTTGTGTTGAGATGTATCTTATTTGTCTATACATTATATATACATTAATTTCTTATAAAAATATAATTATAAAATATATATTTATATGTATATATTTTTTAAAATAAATTTAATAAAAAAATATTTTTTTCATCTTAATTAGGAGTGAAAAATTTTGACTTAATACGATGACACGACTCGATCTCGACACGAGTTTTATGATACGAACTTGATTATAACTCGACATGTACTTGAAAATGACTTAACAACGCGAACAGAAAATATAAAAGTCTCGTAATTTTATGACTTAACATGAATCGAACACGATACAACTCGATTGTCACTCTTAATCTTAGTCAATACAAGTAAAAATTATTCATTTTTATTTTTCATCCATCCAACCAAACACAAATGAAGAAAAATGTATTCATCATATTTTTCATCGTTTATGTTTTCCATCCTTCTTACCAAACAGATCATAAGTGAAGTTCCTACTTAGTCATTGTAGCGCATTAATTAAATACATATATCAAATTTACTTGTGGATCAAGAGAAAGAAACACATACATGTAAGGCATACACAAGAGAAATAATCCACTTGTGCCCAGCTTGGGTTGTTTCATTGTTTACATTTCATAGGATTAGGGAATGTTTCTTACTAATGAATTGATGGTAAAAACGTTCCATTTGGGATCCCTTACTTTATCAAAGCCTCGAACTTCGTTAGGTATTAGAAAAACACCTCATTTCTACATGCCTTGCATCATATGATTATTTCTGTTCATTTTTACATGCCTTTTGAGAGATGATTATTTTTGTTTTGTGATAATCGTTCCTTTGGTACTCAACAAACGTAAGAATGCAATGGTCTCGCAGCTTTCGGTCACTGAAGATGGCAGTGGATTTCTTGACGCGGGCCTTCAGTACTTCTCCTCCTTTTGAAAGCATAGCTCATCTTAGAACCCTAGTTGTGTGGTTCCCGATGGCCTGAGCTAGATCAGGTCCCAAATTACAGATTAAGCCTACCTCATAGCCTTAATTCAAAAATTACACATCAGACCCAACTCAAAGTCCCAATTTAAAATTATAGATCAGACCCACTTTAAATATACAATATCAAAGAAGGTCAGTCGAGTCAATCTCGTCACGTTAAGATACTCGGTCCACAACTGACACATGAGATGTAATTATTGGACACACGTCACCACCTCCACGTAACTGTCTCGCTTATTATGAGTATAGCATCACCTAGACTTGTTTGCAAAGTATAAAGTGAGCACGAAAATTCTTAGTTAATTAGGTATGTATTTATACTACTCGATAAGACTAGAAATTAATAGGGTGGACACAAAATATATAGAGTGAGCGCCATAAAATATACCAAAAACTAATTAAAATATATGTAAATAAGAATTTTTAAAAAAAATATTCAGGGTGGGCCGTGCCCTCTATCCACTACGATCTCTACCAATTGTGTACGCAGTCTTTGCCCTAAATGTAAGAAAATATTTTTGGAACTTTAAATCATGCAACCTTACATTTATAATTATTTTTAGTTAATTTTCATATTATAAAAATATTACATGATATTCTTATTATTCAACATATTTAAATTAACAGTGGTGAGAAAGAGGTTCAAGATATAAATAGAAAACTAAGAGCTTAGAAATTTAATCCAGAATGTAAAAAAATAATTTAGTACATTAAAGTATATGAAAATAATTTAGAAAATTAAAGTGTATTTGAGTTATTTTGTTGGGGCAAATTTAGAATATATGGAAATCTATGTAGCTCCGCCCCTGTTCAGCAGCGTAAGGCTTTGGCTCTGAAAGTAATGCGAGAAGATCTGATCATGAGAATTCCTCACGTTCTCACCGTTGCCGGCTCCGATTCAGGTGCCGGCGCCGGAATACAGGCCGATCTCAAGGCGTGTGCGGCTCGCGGAGTGTACTGTTCCACCGTGATCACCGCTGTCACTGCTCAGAACACTGTCGGCATTCAGGTCTGATTGCACTGTAAAGCACTGAATCATTTTAATTTTCTCTCAAGTTTTTGGTACTTTTTGTATTGATAATTTGGTTTTGTTTGTGTATTAAGGGTGTTTGTGCTGTGCCGGAAGAGTTTGTTGCAGAGCAGTTGAAGTCCGTGCTTTCCGATATGCGTGTCGATGTTGTGAGTAGATGATCATGATAATAGAGTAGTTTGATTTGATTTGGATGATTCAGTCTATTTTGAGTTATTTTCTTAGGGCACATTTGCTACACACTTTTTTTTAATGATGAATGTGGTATACTTCTGAATTTATAAGGTGTTCCAGACCTAAAAAAAAAGAATTTATAAGGTGTTATGTTGTCTGTGCGGGACATAAATTATTTATCTGCTGAGCATTGAATCCACGAGCAAATAGAATTGTCATACTCATAATTCTTGCATGAGTAAAAGCGCTTTTCCAAAATACTTACCAAAAAGCATTTTTTCCAAATGAGTTGGCAGCTTTATATCCAATCAAAAATATTTTGATAGCATTTGCGGGTCCAAGAGTGATATGGAGACTTGTGTTTTTGCATATACTGTCCAATCAAAAATTTCTCTTCTTGCATATACTGTCAGCTTTAGATGGCAAATATTGTCGGGGAATAATCAGACTTGTGTTTTTGTTCTCATGATTGGAACCAGAATTGTAGAATAGTGCCACACTCCAAGGGGTTTTCTAATTAAAAAATGGATTTGGGCTGGTGGGAAAAGTGATTGAAGAAATTTAGGCTGATTTGTTATTTGGATTTGAGAGTGCTCAGATGGCAATTGGAAGTGCCATACTGTGATTTATTTAGTGAAACCCTGCTTGCGTAATATTTAGCTATGCCTACACATAAAATCAGATATTTTGTTTTTTTCTTGTAAGTTGAGAACATTTTTTTATGCCAAAATTTGAAGTATGAGATATTTTTTAGGGTGTTTTTCTTTTGACTAGCAATTTGTTTATTTGCAATCCTCAATTATGTTGCTTCTGTATCTGACTACAAAGGTTATGGTCCTTGACTTGCAAGTTGTTGAGTTGATTCATCTATCTGATTTTATCGACTTGCAGCTCCTGATCATTTTGCTTATTTTTTTTTTTGTCTTTTTACAAGGATTTTTATGATATAATGTTGAAATTATCTTAGGTCAAAACGGGTATGCTTCCTTCTATCAACATAGTCAAGGTTATATGCCAGAGTCTCAAGGAGTTCCCTGTTCGAGGTAAGCATTAGTACTGTTTGGCTGGTTGCAATTGTTGTAGCTCCAAAATTGACAAACTTGTACTTATGAAGGCAGCTTTAGTGGTTGATCCTGTCATGGTATCTACAAGTGGAGATGTACTGGCTGGTCCATCCATTCTTGATATTTTTCGGTATGTTATTTGAAAGTAAATCCATGGTGATTCTCATGCTGTAATGTTCTCGAGATGTTATATGAATGTCAATATAGTTCACAGTGATTCTCATTCTCTAATTTCTCTAGTTCCATCGGTGTGTTTTGCTTACTCAATGTGAAGTCGCTAGCTGATTTATTGTCCACGCTTTTGCCCTATAAATCATATTTTATTTGCTTTCCGTGAGATGTACTTAGGAAGATACTTCATGCTTAATTGATTTTTATTTAATCATCCAATTCATTATTGCAATGTAGTTGTCATATTTGAGAAATGGATCTCAATTATTTTCAATGGGAAGAATAAACATCATCTTGTTGCTCCAATGAATGGAATGGCTACTTGTTTACTATTTATGTTGATCTTTGGCTGGATTTTTACTCACTGAAATAAAAACTTTAATCTTTCGTTTTTGTTGTTTCTTATTTCAGTTTTCTTAATTATTCTCTCATAAAAGGGCCGTTGATCTATATATCATTTACATCCTGTTAGGATCGATGGAAGTTATAATAGCTCTGCTGCTTTCAATATTCTTCTGCCAAGGCGCAGAACTTTGTTGCACTTTGTTCTAGTCATGTCCAAAGCCCATCTTGTTAAGAGGGGGCTACGTCAGCATAGGCATTGCTACTAATCCTCATTTTGTCCAGAGAACTTTCTAAGAAGGCTTATTATACAGCACCCAGTTGATTTAATTTATCATTTATACGTATATAATACTTACCTCTCTCCAGTACGTATGAAGTTTGTTACTTTCTCTTCCATAGTCATAAACACTTCTGGTTGGGATGCAATATAATCATGGTTTTTGGTTCCTAATTACAGGGAGGAGCTTCTTCCCATAGCTGATATTGTAACCCCAAATCTTAAAGAGGCATCTGCTTTACTAGGTGGTGTGCAATTGCAAACTGTTGATGATATGCGTTCCGCTGCAAAATCTATACACGATATTGGCCCAAGGTCAGTTCTCACAAAATGCATTGAATCTTCTCTAATGATTAGGCTTACTTAATGAAATTGCTGGACTTGTGTTTCACATCCATCTGTTGTCAAAAGTGGTGCACATTAGAAGTTGCACTCGTGATTTTGTAGAATATTCTTAACCAATTTTAATTTATGTATGTGACAAGGGTTGGTTTGGGTCAGCATGATATGCTGATAAATGCAGAGATTTCTTTCTTATTTAAAGTAATCTAGTACATTGCAGTTTGTCCAAAAAACTAGCACAATTGGAGAATTGTCATGCTTGAATGTATATGCAGGAACTAATTTTCTTAAGAAGTGACAATGTTCATTTTCATGGTTTACCTTTCCATTTTATTTATCTATTTTTTATTTGTTTTCCCTTTTTGTTTTGGTGGTTTTTTTTTTCGGTTGCGTAACTTGCCAATTATTTACTTTTTCAAAAGTAACGTGCACCATTGTGTCTGGAATGTTGATATCCTTGATAACTTGTGATATATTCCACACAGCTAATAAGTTGGTATGGAAAGAAAGAAAGTATTTTGAGTGGACGCAGTGATCTTGTTGGAAGGGAGTTGTACCTGTCAATGACTCTAAACTTGACAGATTAGCACTTTTTAAAAAATAAGCTGAAGACCTTAGGAATCAAGTTGTTATAAATTTTATGAAATTTTGTCTACATCTCCAATGATTAATTAGAATAGCACACTTACACATGAATGAATTATGCTATCACAATAGTTTCGTAGTCTGAACAAAGTACTACTGTCCACAACTTGAGGCACTAGTCCTGCATCTCAGGTCAATAGTGATGCCTTAAGACTCGAAATTTAGAATGCTGTGATGCAGTGGAAGGATGTGTCTTAGAGGAAAACTTCCATCGATCTTTGGGTTTTTAAAGATCTCTACGTTATGCACATATGTATAACGTAAGGGCTTGCCCTTTCTCTCCTGTGCTATCTGTTAGGGTGACGGAGAGGAAGAAAAAAGCATGTTCTAAAGCAGTTTTTTTTTGTTTTTTTGTTTTCAGGCATGTACTTGTGAAAGGAGGTGACCTCCCTGCTTCATTGGATGCTGTTGATGTTTTCTTTGATGGTAAGTTAAATAATATATAAGGATGTCTTGAGCAGATTTGTTGTTCTTCCTTTTTGTTCTTCCTTTTTGTTCTTAGGGACGTGTGCGAATTTTCATTGCGGTTAGTTCTTNATAATATATAAGGATGTCTTGAGCAGATTTGTTGTTCTTCCTTTTTGTTCTTAGGGACGTGTGCGAATTTTCATTGCGGTTAGTTCTTGCTCAGTCTCCTAATATGATCTTGTAGGTGAGAATTTCATTGAGCTGCGCTCGTCACGCATAAAAACTTGGAATACTCATGGAACTGGTTGCACTTTGGCTTCATCTATAGCAGCTGAGCTTGCAAAGGGGTCTCCAATGCTATCAGCCGTTGAGGTAATTGATTATATGCTTGTATTTCTGGGTCGAAGTCCTGATAGTTTATTGACGTGGTTTCAGAATAAAAGTTAATTCTCTATAGTTTGCTGTTATGATACAAGCAATAGAAGTGAGATTAAGTCCACTGAAAATATATTACATGTGAAGGGCTCACTTGATGGGCATTGCTCTTGTTCTCCTCAATCAAATGGGAAGAAGAGCCACCTTTTTTTCTTTTCGCTTTCCCCTCTCCCCCTACCATTTCTTGAGTGATCCTCATCTTCAACTATTTCAATCATTTGCCGAGGGATGAACGATAAAGTAAAATTGTTAGAAGGCGTCTCATGCTTTATGGTCCGAATAGCTATTTATTATACTCTAGGAAATATTGAATGTAAATTATGTAATGTAGGATGACGATGCTGAGATGGTTGGGTGGCAAATCAAGACTCAATAAAACAAAAAGAGTGAAACTTGTTCATGAAATATGAGAGAGAGAGAGAGAGAGTATTGTGCGATGTTACTGCAATATCCAGGGAAAACTATGTACAACACCATCGTGGATTGAGTTGTCCTAGACTCAAGGTTTCAAGAAGTCAGAGGAACTACTATGAAACAGAAGGGAAATAAATTGACACCACTTTTCAGATGATTACAATCTGTAATTCAATAAAGGGTATGATAGTGACTGGATCAAATTGAAGGTGGATTTTTTTGGATAGACTAGGTACTTGGGGAGAGGAATGTTGACTTTTTTGGTCTGTTGTCATGTCGTCGTCTTTTGGGAGTTTTAATTTTGGAAGGAATGAAGATCTATTTTTTCTACCAAATATGTCTTCCATTGCATACATTTTTATATTATAAAGATATTGGAAGCAATTACAATATTGCCCTACACTAGAAGGGAGACTGACAGAAATAATTAAATCATGACTCTGACAGAAATGTATGGGACCTTCTTGCAATTTTGCTTCATGGTAATTGTGAGTTGCTTTTTTTAATTGCCTTATCTCACACATCACAGTACAGAAAATGTGAAAAATACAAGAATTGATGTTTGAAGGGTGCAAGCTTTTGACTACTATTCTTGCAATTCCGAACCATGTTCCTGACAATTTTTTTTTTTTTGATATATTTTTAAAAATTACTTGTCAACTGGAGCATCTGTTCTTAATTTATTTTTCCTTGCGTCTTATCAGGTTGCCAAGCGCTATGTTCGGACTGCATTGGATAACAGTAAGGACATTGTTATTGGAAATGGGCCTCATGGTCCTTTTGACCACCTCTTTAAGCTTAAGAGTAATGTCCAGAATCCATGTAGCCAATGGGTGTTTGATCCGAATGATCTCTTCTTGTATGCTGTTACGGATTCGGGGATGAATAAGAAGTGGGGTCGTTCTGTCACTGATGCTGTCAAAACTGCCATTCAAGGAGGTGCCACCATTGTTCAGCTGAGGTTTTTAACTTTTTGCTTTGTTTGCTATTTTTTCTCTCCTTGTTTGTGTTGGTAGGAGGGGTCTTTGAATGCCAGTCATAAGTACAATTGTCCAAGGGTCTTGCACTAGTGTCTATAAACTCCGGCTTTAGTCGAGTCTCTTTTGAATNTGTGTCTATAAACTCCGGCTTTGGTCGAGTCTCTATTGAATGGTTGGATCTCGGACCACTATTTTTGTACCTTCTTCTATCATTAACTAAAANAGTGTCTATAAACTCCGGCTTTAGTCGAGTCTCTTTTGAATGGTTGGATCTCGGACCACTATTTTTGTACCTTCTTCTATCATTAACTAAAAAGTTTGAGGTTCTTTTGAATGAGTTGCAAAAGTTTGCTATTATAAGTTTCTCTCTGACAATTGTGTATAGATATTCTTAATCCCTAGATTTTGTTATACCATACTTTTCATATGCTCATATTTTTAATCATTCCTTTTTTTTTCCACAAGGTCACTCCTTGTAGCATCATTCTGTTGTTGGAACTTGATGTATGAATCCACTTTCCTCCTATTTGCAGCTCTTACTATTTTCATTCATAAAGATTAATTTTGGTCGGAAAAACAAGGAGATTCATATCACCCATCTAAGGGGTTTTTCTAAATTTCCTTCATCTTTTTTCTGCAGAATTTAACAGTGAAGGAAGGATGGTAGGCACCCCACACCCTGAAAAACACATCACGGGGGCAAACTATTAGAAACATATATAGCTAGCCTTGACTACAGGATTCAAAAGAATTAACCCAATAGCTTGGCCTCTTGTCATTGTGCAATCACGTGCTGCTGGTCCGTTTATTATGAGGGTTAGAGCTTCCAATCCAAAAACCAATTGACAATGAGCGAAGTGACCCCTCAAATATATAAACTAATTTTGGTGGTCCTAATTATTTGACGAGGGATACAAGCTCGCTTAACCCCCTGCCTCACATGGGACCCGGGTTAGCACGTGGGTCCACAAACAAACAAACATGCATACCGGGAATTCAAACGGGTAAAAGACTTGGCCCACTGCTGCTCAAGCCTTGTTTTGATACCTTGTTAGAGGATTCAACCAAAAACTAATTGACAATGGGCAAAGTGACCCCTCAAGTATATAAACCAATCTTTCAATGTGGGGAACAAACTCTCTTAACAATGAGAAGTACGTTCCCTATGTAATCACTTTCAACAGGCTTGACTACCCCTTTTTGACTGTCATCATTGATTTTCTTATCAGCGACGCTGGTTTTCTTGCCATATCTTTACTTCTCTCTGAAATAAGTATGAGAAGTAAGCTTGCCATGACATCATGGGAGGGAGACTCATAATATGGTTAATCACTGTCTAGTTCCATACCTCTATTGAGATGACATTTATCTGTCTTTATACTCTTCCATAAGATTGTGTTTTAGCTGATTTACTAGTCACCCTGTTTGCGTCACAAAAGATAAGGCTTTTAGAATGCTTTAGAATTTTATGATTTTCCTTGATCTTTTGCAAAATAGTCCAGTTATGCCAGGACATTGGCATTGCCCAAGTATATAGCTGGTCATAATTTATTTAGTTGTGACTTACTGCTCTTACAATAGCAATTTGGGCTTTAGCATTATCTGTGCATTTGGCTGTTAAACCTATATTTATTTTCTGGAGGTAGCACATGGTATTCTTTAATTTGATCTTTAAGAATGCTTCTTTGCAAATATATATATATATGATGCTTCCAATAATTATTCCAATTTTGTTTCTGAGCTAAGGCTGATTCTTTCCATGTTCCAAGTTCTTGCATCTTCTGTGAATCTATATCAGTTTACAGCTAAATACGCATTGTGTTTTTGTTCACCTGCTCTTGGTCAAAAACACTTCTTTGTTACTTTAAAATTGCCCCCTTCATGTGCATTAAATTTTGGTTGCAAATTGTTTTCTCAAAGGACAGAAGTCAAACTATTGTTCTAGCTGATTTCTGTCCAAAATCATTTTGTTTTTGCCTACAAATTCTTTTGCCTCCCCCTCCCTTCTCTGAATGTTGTCTAAATTTCTACCTTCAATAGAAAGTATTAACTCATCTTTTTCTTTTGAATTAATGTGTGATGTTCTTCTTGTCTGTATTAATGTCAAACAAAAGAAGCTTTAGCTGCCATGGAACTCTGTAGCTGTATGAGAGTAGGAGCTGTTAGTAACTGGTGGGCATTTCATAATAAATTTGGTGCCAGTGTTTTTAATAGTTGAGAAATTCTTGGGAGAACCTGACTACTCCCCAGAAAGACATGCCCAGTGAGGTCTGGGACTTCCTTAATTCTTGCTACTAACATGCGAAGAATGTTTTGAATGCCTCCCATGAATCTCCTTCCAAGAACCCACTCAGCCAACTAGTCCTTTAAAAGTTGGCTTCTATCAGATGGGTTAGATGAGTTTGAGCATATTATATCATGCCAAGGGTTGCTCAAATTCTATTTTGGTATTGGCATGCCCATGCATGTGTGTAATAGAAAACAAAGCTTATGGTTTAGGGGCTAAGGTCCTTGAGATGACTGTCCCCTCTCCCACGGGAAGAAATGGACTAGTCCAACTAAAAGAAAAAGGTGTTCGACTGATGTTGCATGATTTTTTAAATAGAATACCAAAACCATAAATATGGTCTTCCAATCAAGGGTGTCTTCCTTATATGTGAACCAAAATCTTAACAATTTTAGTTTGCGTATCTACTCAGGTTTTTACATTTTGAATACATATAAATTCATGGGGCTTGGTTTCCAACAGCTATTCAATTTTCAAAGTTGTCTGAAATCAGTGGATAGTACATGAGAACATTCATCATGACTATTTTTATATTGCTTATGAAGGGAAAAGGATGCCAAAACAGGGAAGTTTCTGGAGGCAGCCAAAGCATGTCACAATATTTGTCGTCTCCATGGTGTACATCTGCTAATAAATGACAGAATTGATGTTGCCCTTGCTTGTGATGCTGATGGTGTGCATATTGGCCAATCTGACATGCCTGTTGCTGTTGTCCGCACTCTTCTTGGGCCAGAGAAGATCATTGGTGTATCGTGCAAGACGCCTGAGCAAGCTCAGCAAGCATGGGTTGATGGTGCTGATTACATTGGTTGTGGTGGTGTGTATCCAACCAATACAAAAGTGAACAATCTAACTGTTGGTTTGGAAGGGCTGAAAACTGTATGTTTGGCTTCCAAGTTACCAGTAGTTGCCATAGGCGGTATTAGTGTTTCAAATGCGCGGTCTGTAATGGAATTAGGTGTACCCAATCTGAAAGGTGTTGCAGTTGTGTCTGCTATGTTTGATACAGAAAGCATTTTGGTTGAGACCCAAAAGTTGCATGCTGTGCTGATGGAGACACGTGCTGTGGTAAAATGAACGAATGCTGAAGATGAAGGTTCTTAATGGACAACCTTACTATATGAATTCTGAATCAATGTGAGGACTTTGTAGCTGAAACTTGGTTGGCTTTGTATTTCCTTTTTTTTTTTTTTTGTTAAACGTATTTAAGTAATTGTCGTTTTGTAAGACCATAATAAAAACACAATTTTTGGCTTCCTTCTAGGTGAATCTGATAGATCAAGTTTTTTACGGGGAATTCAAGTTCATCCAAGTTCATCAGTGAAAAGGGGACCTTGTTACTAAACTTGTTGAGTCTGCTTATCTTCTTATGTCACACTGGCAGCAGAAAAGGAAGCCAAAAGACTTTACTGCTATTGCCACTCTGGGAGTTGTTACTCTTGGGTCTTTATATTGTAGAGATTTGTAACCGGAGGGTTGCTTAAATAGTAACATGGACGAGTTATAAATTTAGACGTACTGAGTTTGAATTTTAATAATTATTTCGAGTTAAGTCATGAGAGAATTATCCCTCATGAATAATTTAATCTTATTGTGGATGACTTGTCTTTGACTAGATCAGGAAAGAAATTAGTCGAGATATATGTAAATTTGTCCGAACACTTTTCACCGTTGAACTAAAAAAATTAACAAATTGTCAGATACTGTGATGTTATTCTGCATTGCATGGCAATTGATGTCCTTCAAAAGGGCACTCACAGGACTCGCTTGGATACTTGGAGGTTAGCATTACCAATTAGAAGAGTCGAGGGGATTTGGATTCTCCTATATACCGCGGGTTCTACTTAAATTTATTATTAGAGATATGCTATTGAAGAATATATATAATGCACTCGGATTCATAACGGGTGATTTACTATGGAAGAAACTTTAGAAAAAACATAGTTAGAGGAGATCCAGATTCAAAAAGTAACACGTCATCGGATTGTCATACAGAGAAAGATCATCGGATTGTCATATAGAGAAATGTCATTGTATGTTTGTTTCTTCAATAATGTTATGTTTATCAAGTCTTTCACTAAGTTTTTTATACCAAAAGATATGATACAGTCTCCATCATTGAAAATTAATAGGACTTACTTATTTGATGGTGAAAATTATGTTATATCACTTGAGATGAAAAACTTTGTGAGAAATTTTAGTTAACATAGTATTATTGTTTTTTCTTTGGGTCAGATTGTGTAGGAGGCATTCGAACCGGCACCCTTCTCGATAGTGGATTACCACTTTGGTGGGCTCATAGGTCTTCAGGCTGTTCTTCTGGAGTAGTAGTTATAGCTCAAATCAGACATTCCATAATAGAGGGGATCCTCATGGTAATACCCAGAAGGATTACTAGCTAGTGGTAAAACAAAAAAGGTTTAACGCCAAGATTTTCTAGTGTTTAAATTACAAGTTGACCTTTTTAATTATGGACTCAATTTCAATTATCTCTGCAATAACTTATCTATGGTGCACGAATGAGGAATTCACTTATATAATGAATCACGTTGGAATATATGACGAATAGGCTGTTAGTCGAATGAGCCCGAGCCAAGCTTGAAAAACTTGTTTCTTAATTGAACTTAAAAAATTGTTCAAATTTGGCTCATTTAAGAAACAAGCTGAACCTAAACAAGCCAAAAACAAGCCGAGCCCGAGTATTTTCACATAAACGAATTGAGCCTATCGAGTTTGAGTCGAACTTGTAGGACTTGTTTTCTAAACGAGTCTTAAAATTTGTTCAAGTTCGGACTCATTTAGAAAACAAACCGAGCCTGAACGAGCCGAACCCGAGCCAAACTTAAGCTAAACTTGAATAATTCAGTTAGATTAACGGCTCTAATGGCGAATGATCTATTATATAAAGAAACTCTATGGTGGGAATCTTGATCCATTTAACGNATAGAGATTTGTAACTGGAGGGTTGCTTAAATAGTAACATGGATGAGTTATAAATTTAGACGTACTGAGTTTGAATTTTAATAATTCTTTCGAGTTAAGTCATGAGAGAATTATCTCTCATGAATAATTTAATCTTATCGTGGATGACTTGTCTTTGACTAGATCAGGAAAGAAATTACTCGAGGTATATGTAAATTTGTCCGAACACTTTTCACCGTTGAACTAAAAAAATTAACAAATTGTCAGATACTGTGATGTTATTCTGCATTGCATGGCAATTGATGTCCTTCAAAAGGGCACTCACAGGACTCGCTTGGATACTTGGAGGTTAGCATTACCAATTANAAAAGTGAAAGTGAAAAAAAAAAAAAATAGAAGGATAATAAAAGTTTTCTTACATGCAATTGATGAAGATGAAAGCTATTCAAGTTCTAGTAATAGTTTAGTTTACAACATCAAAAGTATTGAAGGTCACAATAACATTCTTGTAATTGCCTAGATTCTTTCATCCAGTTTGAAAAAAAATAATATATTTTTTTTATTTCTCACTAATNGCACTCACAGGACTCGCTTGGATACTTGGAGGTTAGCATTACCAATTAGAAGAGTCGAGGGGATTTGGATTCTCCTATATACCGCGGGTTCTACTTAAATTTATTATTAGAGATATGCTATTGAAGAATATATATAATGCACTCGGATTCATAACGGGTGATTTACTATGGAAGAAACTTTAGAAAAAACATAGTTAGAGGAGACCCAGATTCAAAAAGTAACACGTCATCGGATTGTCATATAGAAAAAGATCATCGGATTGTCATATAGAGAAATGTCATTGTATGTTTGTTTCTTCAATAATGTTATGTTTATCAAGTCTTTCACTAAGTTTTTTATACCAAAAGATATGGTACAGTCTCCATCATTGAAAATTAATAGGACTTACTTATNCGAAGAATGTTTTGAATGCCTCCCATGAATCTCCTTCCAAGAACCCACTCAGCCAACTAGTCCTTTAAAAGTTGGCTTCTATCAGATGGGTTAGATGAGTTTGAGCATATTATATCATGCCAANTGAAGAATGTTTTGAATGCCTCCCATGAATCTCCTTCCAAGAACCCACTCAGCCAACTAGTCCTTTAAAAAGTTGGCTTCTATCAGATGGGTTAGATGAGTTTGAGCATATTATATCATGCCAANTTTTATTATTTAATTTAAAGTTAATTTTGGTCTTCTTCTATCCTTACACTTACCGTCAATAGCTACTAAATCATCAATACTGTAATATGTCAAAACTAGTTAAGCCGGTTCTGTTTTAATTTATCTCTTAAACACGCTACCTTTAATTTTCAACGATATACTTAATTATATTTGGACTAGGTCACGTGGCAATTNGCATGTGTGTAATAGAAAACAAAGCTTATGGTTTAGGGGCTAAGGTCCTTGAGATGACTGTCCCCTCTCCCACGGGAAGAAATGGACTAGTCCAACTAAAAGAAAAAGGTGTTCGACTGATGTTGCATGATTTTTTAAATAGAATACCAAAACCATAAATATGGTCTTCCAATCAAGGGTGTCTTCCTTATATGTGAACCAAAATCTTAACAATTTTAGTTTGCGTATCTACTCAGGTTTTTACATTTTGAATACATATAAATTCATGGAGCTTGGTTTCCAACAGCTATTCAATTTTCAAAGTTGTCTGAAATCAGTGGATAGTACATGAGAACATTCATCATGACTATTTTTATATTGCTTATGAAGGGAAAAGGATGCCAAAACAGGGAAGTTTCTGGAGGCAGCCAAAGCATGTCACAATATTTGTCGTCTCCATGGTGTACATCTGCTAATAAATGACAGAATTGATGTTGCCCTTGCTTGTGATGCTGATGGTGTGCATATTGGCCAATCTGACATGCCTGTTGCTGTTGTCCGCACTCTTCTTGGGCCAGAGAAGATCATTGGTGTATCGTGCAAGACGCCTGAGCAAGCTCAGCAAGCATGGGTTGATGGTGCTGATTACATTGGTTGTGGTGGTGTGTATCCAACCAATACAAAAGTGAACAATCTAACTGTTGGTTTGGAAGGGCTGAAAACTGTATGTTTGGCTTCCAAGTTACCAGTAGTTGCCATAGGCGGTATTAGTGTTTCAAATGCGCGGTCTGTAATGGAATTAGGTGTACCCAATCTGAAAGGTGTTGCAGTTGTGTCTGCTATGTTTGATACAGAAAGCATTTTGGTTGAGACCCAAAAGTTGCATGCTGTGCTGATGGAGACACGTGCTGTGGTAAAATGAACGAATGCTGAAGATGAAGGTTCTTAATGGACAACCTTACTATATGAATTCTGAATCAATGTGAGGACTTTGTAGCTGAAACTTGGTTGGCTTTGTATTTCCTTTTTTTTTTTTTTTGTTAAACGTATTTAAGTAATTGTCGTTTTGTAAGACCATAATAAAAACACAATTTTTGGCTTCCTTCTAGGTGAATCTGATAGATCAAGTTTTTTACGGGGAATTCAAGTTCATCCAAGTTCATCAGTGAAAAGGGGACCTTGTTACTAAACTTGTTGAGTCTGCTTATCTTCTTATGTCACACTGGCAGCAGAAAAGGAAGCCAAAAGACTTTACTGCTATTGCCACTCTGGGAGTTGTTACTCTTGGGTCTTTATATTGTAGAGATTTGTAACCGGAGGGTTGCTTAAATAGTAACATGGACGAGTTATAAATTTAGACGTACTGAGTTTGAATTTTAATAATTATTTCGAGTTAAGTCATGAGAGAATTATCCCTCATGAATAATTTAATCTTATTGTGGATGACTTGTCTTTGACTAGATCAGGAAAGAAATTAGTCGAGATATATGTAAATTTGTCCGAACACTTTTCACCGTTGAACTAAAAAAATTAACAAATTGTCAGATACTGTGATGTTATTCTGCATTGCATGGCAATTGATGTCCTTCAAAAGGGCACTCACAGGACTCGCTTGGATACTTGGAGGTTAGCATTACCAATTAGAAGAGTCGAGGGGATTTGGATTCTCCTATATACCGCGGGTTCTACTTAAATTTATTATTAGAGATATGCTATTGAAGAATATATATAATGCACTCGGATTCATAACGGGTGATTTACTATGGAAGAAACTTTAGAAAAAACATAGTTAGAGGAGATCCAGATTCAAAAAGTAACACGTCATCGGATTGTCATACAGAGAAAGATCATCGGATTGTCATATAGAGAAATGTCATTGTATGTTTGTTTCTTCAATAATGTTATGTTTATCAAGTCTTTCACTAAGTTTTTTATACCAAAAGATATGATACAGTCTCCATCATTGAAAATTAATAGGACTTACTTATTTGATGGTGAAAATTATGTTATATCACTTGAGATGAAAAACTTTGTGAGAAATTTTAGTTAACATAGTATTATTGTTTTTTCTTTGGGTCAGATTGTGTAGGAGGCATTCGAACCGGCACCCTTCTCGATAGTGGATTACCACTTTGGTGGACTCATAAGTCTTCAGACTGTTCTTCTGGAATAGTAGTTATAGCTCAAATCAGACATTCCATAATAGAGGGGATCCTCATGGTAATACCCAGAAGGATTACTAGCTAGTGGTAAAAAAAAAAAGGTTTAACGCCAAGATTTTCTAGTGGTTAAATTACAAGTTGACCTTTTTAATTATGGACTCAATTTTATTTTACCCCTTGAGTTATTAAAATTTTCACATTATCTGTTCAACTACGAGAATTATTTTACGTTGTCCCAAAAGCAAAATTCCACTATTTTTTGGGACATAAATTGCCAAAGTGTCGGAGTAGAGTGGAGAAATAACATATTTGAAAGGGAAGAATAAAATAATTCCATCAAATTTAAAATGAAAGTTAATTATTGGGGCAATGTGAACTAATCAATAATTGAAGATTCACCCTTTTATGATTACTATTTTGCGTCGCAATGTGAATAGGAGCTTGTGATTGATTCTCAATATTAAAGATGTTATGTGTAAAAAACAAGCGGATATACGGTTAAATATTAATGAGGCCTATTTGGGTCACTTGTGTGAAAAAGACATGATGAATAAAGTTTTAGATCTTTTTGCATAAAATTTTTCAATTATCTCTGCAATAACTTATCTACGGTGCACGAATGAGGAATTCACTTATATAATGAATCACGTTGGAATATATGACGAATAGGCTGTTAGTCGAATGAGCCCGAGCCAAGCTTTAAAAACTTGTTTCTTAATTGAACTTAAAAAATTGTTCAAATTTGGCTCGTTTAAGAAACGAGCTGAACCTGAACAAGTCAAAAACAAGCCGAGCCCGAGTATTTTCACATAAACGAATTGAGCCTATCGAGTTTGAGTCGAGCTTGTAGGGCTTGTTTTCTAAACGAGTCTTAAAATTTGTTTAAGTTCGGACTCATTTAGAAAACAAACTGAGCCTGAACGAGCCGAACCCGAGCCAAACTTAAGCTAAACTTGAATAATTCAGTTAGATTAACAGCTCTAACGGCGAATGATCTATTATATAAAGAAACTCTATGGTGGGAATCTTGATCCATTTAACGAAGTTGAATTCTCTCCCGTACACATTGCCCGAAATTCGGAAGCAAGTTGGTAAGAATTACTCCATATATTTAAGATTTCATTTGATTAGGAAAAAACAAATGATGGAAAATGAAAGTGAAAGAAAAAAATAGAAGGATAATAAAAGTTTTCTTACATGCAATTGATGAAGATGAAAGCTTTTCAAGTTCTAGTAATAGTTTAGTTTACAACATCAAAAGTATTGAAGGTGACAATAACATTCTTGTAATTGCTTAGATTCTTTCATCCAGTTTGAAAAAAAATAATATATTTTTTTTATTTCTCACTAATATCAACTATTTTACAAACTACAAAGCAGGCTCCTGTAAGGGAAACATATCGCCTTAAAAATTCTATAGTACAAGAACTTTTATAATACTATGCATGGTTTTGAGAGCGAAAATAATTGAAAACTTAAGAGTTATTTTTTTATGTTAAATTATAAATTATCATATATTTCTTTATTATTTAATTTAAAGTTAATTTTGGTCTTCTTCTATCCTTACACTTACCGTCAATAGCTACTAAATCATCAATACCGTAATATGTCAAAACTAGTTAAGCCGGTTCTCTTTTAATTTATCTCTTAAACACGCTACCTTTAATTTTCAACGATATACTTAATTATATTTGGACTAGGTCACGTGGCAATTAGCACGTGCTAAAAAGAACCATTTGAAATGATAGTACCTTAACTGAGCAAGTACCTCAACCGAGTAGATTATAACTGAACCGAACAGCTTTGGATTCAATCAAGCAGATTGGATTAGACTTGACCATGTTAGAGATCAATTGAAAGTGATCTACTCAGCAAGCCAAGCGTTCCTGAGCCTGAAAGTGTGTGCCGAGCAAAACCTAATGAAGTATGCTAGAAAGATATACTCTAAAACTGAAATTTGAATAAGAACCTAACTCCATATAATAGTAACGAAGACCAATCTGAAAGCTGGATTTGACTGAATGAGTCTAGCTATGGTGAGGGCTTGAGGGTGTGCCACCTTCTCCTATTAGAATTCTAAGCCCGAATTAGTCGAAAGATACTGCTATAAATGCCGCATGAACTTAAGTCTGAAGGTATATACTTCTTTCCCTACGATTCACTTGTTTAATCTCAGATCTTTACTAACTTAGGCATTGAATACCTATGGATANGGAAAAGGATGCCAAAACAGGGAAGTTTCTGGAGGCAGCCAAAGCATGTCACAATATTTGTCGTCTCCATGGTGTACATCTGCTAATAAATGACAGAATTGATNAGAAAAGGATGCCAAAACAGGGAAGTTTCTGGAGGCAGCCAAAGCGTGTCACAATATTTGTCGTCTCCATGGTGTACATCTGCTAATAAATGACAGAATTGATGTTGCCCTTGCNAAGATAACCACCGGTCCCTGCAATTTGTTCGTTTTATTGAAAAAAATACACTTTGTTCGTTTCTCTCAAAACTAAAAACTCAGTTTCCAAATCATTATCATCAAACAAAGGTGCGAAATTCCCCCCCGCCCCCGGACGATGGACTATTTNTAGATAACCACTGGTCCTCGCAGTTTGTTCGTTTTATTGAAAAAAATACACTTTGTTCGTTTCTCTCAAAACTAAAAACTCAGTTTCCAAATCATTATCATCAAACAAAGGTGCGAAATTCCCCCCCGCCCCCGGACGATGGACTATTTTGCTAGTTTTCTCACNTATTAGTGTTTCAAATGCGCGGTCTGTAATGGAATTAGGTGTACCCAATCTGAAAGGTGTTGCAGTTGTGTCTGCTATGTTTGATACAGAAAGCATTTTGGTTGAGACCCAAAAGTTGCATGCTGTGCTGATGGAGACACGTGCTGTGGTAAAATGAACGAATGCTGAAGATGAAGGTTCTTAATGGACAACCTTACTATATGAATTCTGAATCAATGTGAGGACTTTGTAGCTGAAACTTGGTTGGCTTTGTATTTCCTTTTATTTTTTTTTTGTTAAACGTATTTAAGTAATTGTCGTTTTGTAAGACCATAATAAAAACACAATTTTTGGCTTCCTTCTAGGTGAATCTGATAGATCAAGTTTTTTACGGGGAATTCAAGTTCATCCAAGTTCATCAGTGAAAAGGGGACCTTGTTACTAAACTTGTTGAGTCTGCTTATCTTCTTATGTCACACTGGCAGCAGAAAAGGAAGCCAAAAGACTTTACTGCTATTGCCACTCTGGGAGTTGTTACTCTTGGGTCTTTATATTGTAGAGATTTGTAACCGGAGGGTTGCTTAAATAGTAACATGGACGAGTTATAAATTTAGACGTACTGAGTTTGAATTTTAATAATTATTTCGAGTTAAGTCATGAGAGAATTATCCCTCATGAATAATTTAATCTTATTGTGGATGACTTGTCTTTGACTAGATCAGGAAAGAAATTAGTCGAGATATATGTAAATTTGTCCGAACACTTTTCACCGTTGAACTAAAAAAATTAACAAATTGTCAGATACTGTGATGTTATTCTGCATTGCATGGCAATTGATGTCCTTCAAAAGGGCACTCACAGGACTCGCTTGGATACTTGGAGGTTAGCATTACCAATTAGAAGAGTCGAGGGGATTTGGATTCTCCTATATACCGCGGGTTCTACTTAAATTTATTATTAGAGATATGCTATTGAAGAATATATATAATGCACTCGGATTCATAACGGGTGATTTACTATGGAAGAAACTTTAGAAAAAACATAGTTAGAGGAGATCCAGATTCAAAAAGTAACACGTCATCGGATTGTCATACAGAGAAAGATCATCGGATTGTCATATAGAGAAATGTCATTGTATGTTTGTTTCTTCAATAATGTTATGTTTATCAAGTCTTTCACTAAGTTTTTTATACCAAAAGATATGATACAGTCTCCATCATTGAAAATTAATAGGACTTACTTAT